TTGAGACAAGGTCTCACTATGCAGTTCAGGCTGGCCTTGAGCTCACTTTGTAGCCCAGGCTGGTCCTGAACTTGCAAGGATCCTCCTGCCTTAGCCTCTGAGTGCTGGGATTACAGGCGTGCGCCACCACGCCAGGCTAAGCAAGCATTTCTTCTCCGCCAGTTGCCTGATGGTAAGCGGGTCTGTAACCTACGATTTTATCCCATCATCATAATCGTTTTTCAAGGACCCTTTCTGTTACGGAACATTGTATCATTCACTTGTTCTGGGACAGTGAAAAAAGAAAACTGCAAACACAGAGGAGTAGATAAATCTCAAGACCATGTAACGTTTTAATGGCTGATTCTGCCTCTTATGTTTGGCTGTAGGCATATGCTTTGGCTCAGATACATGTCTCAGTCAACTTTAGTGCTTCCCTTTCTAGAACACTGTAAAAACAATTTTTCTGTTTTTAAAGCTAGGCATGGTGGCACATACTGTAATCATCCCAGAACTCTGGGAGGGTGAGCTAGGAGAATCTCAAGTTAAAGCCCAGGTTCGGCTACTTAGTGACTAGTGAGATCCTATCTGAAAATTTTAAAGAAATGTCAAAGGGCTGGCCAGAGATATAGCTCATTCCAAATGCCCACTTCAATGTCCAGTACTGAAAAAAAGCAAAATCTAATTATACTTTCATTCATCTTTAAATCTTTTATGTCAGACAATATAGACATCAAAGCCTTAAACAGATAGTCCGGAAAACAAAAAGTTACAGATACGGCAGATTATCTTTCATTGTGGTGAATTCCAAGAACCACTGTAACTATTTTAACATCTGTATCTTGGGGTACAGGCTTATAACAGGGTTTCTTATGATTGAAAAGCCACTGCTTTGTAATTATCCTGGGATGCTTATTAAAACTAAAGATTCCTCCTACTGAAGCAAAATTTCTAGGGGGCTAGCAATTTCATGTTTTAATAGTCACTCAAGTGATATTTTTTGCCAGGTATGGTGGCGCAAGCCTGTAATCCAAGCACTCGGGGAGCTGAGGCAGGAGGATTGTTGCAAGTTCGAGACCAGCCTGGGCTACCAAGTGAGCTCAAGGCCAGCCTGAACTGCATTGTGAGACCCTGCCTCAAAAAAGACAAAAAAAAAAAAAAAAAATCAAGTGATTTTTTTTGCATAGCAAAGTATGAAATCTACTGGACTAAGGATTAAAATAAACTGCTATTGGGGAAGGAGGATAGGGAAAGGGGATGGAGAAAATTAAAATGTGTTATGTACAGGTACCAACCCCCCACAAGGGATGTTATCATTATGTACTACAAACATGCAAAAGTAAAAATCAAAATTAAAACAAAATGAACTGCTATTAACTAGCATTATTTTCTTACTGAGTTTTATGGAGGTATTTGTCTTAATGCAGTGTTTATCTGTGTTACCCATTCCTTCTCATAGCATCCAGCTAGATTAGCAGAATAACCAGACTGGCTATTTTAAACATTATTTATCAAGCAACTACCTGCATTGCTTGGAGTCAAGAAACAGCCACCCTACTGACCCAATTTCATGGTCCAGGAAATAGCTACTGACACTATCTTTTCCCAGCATATGGTTGTTTTTTTGTTTTGTTTTCTTTTGTTTTCTTTTGTTTTGTTTTGTTTTGTTCCCCTAAGGAGAGGTGCAGTTCAGTGTGGCCATGAGCTCACTTTGTAGCCCAGGCTGGTCTAAAACTCACAATGATCCTCCTGCCTCAGCCTCCCTGAGTGCTGGGATTACAGGGGTGCACCACCACGTCCAACTCGGTTGGTTGGTTTTGTTTTGTTTTGTTTTTCTGAATTTCCACTTTAATTCTTATTTCTCATTCTTATATCTACAGCCCATCCTCTTTTAAATGTAGAAAAGTAATTCAGCGATTCGGGTATGTAAGTGTTTAATAAAACATTTGGCACTTTTTAAAAGATCTACATGGATAGCTATAGAAACACTGCCAATACATGTTAAGTGAAAGATAAAAGCAAAATGTAGAACGATGTAATAGTACGCTGCATTTTATTTGGTAAAGAAGACAAAAACCACATTGGTACTTACAGAAAGACACTGTGAAAGGATAAAGAAGAACCTAGCAAAGTGGCTCCCCAGATGGAAGTAGAGTGTGACATTAGGGGAGGGCGAGAGGGGTGATGAAGGAACAGGAGGAAGAGCACTCTTCATACACTTTCTATAGTTTTATATCTGACTCATAGAAGTGCATTGTACTACATATACACATATATTTAAATATATTTATAGCAAAGAGGAAACAGTATATTGGCTTTGTCATAAGGCAAATTCAAATAGTTGTTTATTGTACTTATTCTCTTCTGCCTCTCTCTAAACTTAAGTCACTGCTCTTTTTAGCTTCCTCTGCACCCTTTCTATTTTTAGAGGCACATACTAAATACGTTCTTTTTTCTCCTTTTCTTACGAACATGTGCTATCATACACAGACCCTACTTTACATAATTTTCCCCCATGTAAAAATAACTATATTGAGCTGGGAGTGGCGGCACACGCCTATAATCCCAGCACTCGGGAGGCTGAGGCAGGGGGATCATTGTGAGTTTTAGACCAGCCTGGGCTACAAAGTGAGCTCAAGGCCAGCCTGAACTGCATAGCGAGACCCTGTCTCAAAAAGACACACACAAAAAAACACCCTATATTGGTGATTGTCTCTCACATAGCTTGTTTCTTTCTCCTAGCTGTCTAGCAGCACACAATAGATGTTTGTTTATCCAGTCCCAAATCAGTGGACATTGGAGCCATTTACATTTATTTGCCACTGCCCAAAATGTTGCAAAGAATAATCTTATAAATATCTGGTTTTGTAAGAATGCAGGGTCAATTCTTACAAATAAGACTGCAGGTACAAAGGTAAAAACTACTTATAACTTTACTAGATGCTATCACTTGCTCTTAGGAGCGGTGCATAATACTGTGACAGTGTCTGCCTTTCCATAGTCAACAAAGTCTGCTATCAAACATTTGGCCTTTGCTGATGGAAAAGCTAAACACAAAATGTTTCACTATACGCGAACTGGGTATCTTTCAGCATGCTTCTAAGTGATTAATGTTTGTGCTTTGGTGCCCTATCAGTTCAGACTTGCTACTTACTATGGGAACTTTGGCAAGTTTTATTCTCAAGTCTTGGTCTCTTCTCCTGTATACTAGAAATAACACGTACAGCACTGACCCAAGAACTTCTAAAGAGATGATATGAAATCAACAAAAACATGGAGCACTTGCTATGTGCCAGAAATTTCCCAGAAACGGTGTGGCCATAACTCTTAATGATTTTGAACCTTGCTTATCTTCATCCACTTTTGTCATTATATTTCCTCTCTCTTCCCCTATGCCCTGTTGACCACTAAAGAATAACAGAGAGAAACAATTTGCTGATGGATTATTATATACTGAGTGTTATATTAGGAATTTTACATACAGAGTTCATTCCCATGACTCTTGGTAAGACTTTTAGAAAGTGTTCTGGAAAAAAAATGAAGATTCAGGCTCAGTGGCGCAGCACCTGCCTGTCAAGCATGAGGTCCTGAGTTCGATTCCCAGCACCCCACCCCTCAAAAAAAAAAGAAAAAAAGAAAAATGAAGATTCACACTGGCTAAGTACCTCATCCTAACACAAAGCAGTGCTGAGATGCTGACTGGGGTCTGTCTGATTCTTAAGTCTGCACTTTTTTTCTCTTATGTCACAAAATAAATAGAAGGAATCAGAATGCCACGGTGCTAGTTCTGCTGTGTGACTGACATACTTACAGGGATAGTTCTGTATTTTCCAAGGCTAGCAAATCCACATGTGGATAAAGACTGGACTTTGAGTTGTTTGTTACAATAGGACTTGAAGAGCTGAAACCTAGAACACAAAATGGACTTATTTGGTTTTAAAACATTTTTTCAATCAGTTGTTGTAACAAATTTTCTGCACAAAACCAAAATTGAAGAGATTTAGGTATTTCTATTATCGTATAGAATCATATTTCCTCAAAGACAGATTTAAAAGGAGCATTTACAGCAGGGGGAAAGACAGAGAGACAGACAGAAAGATATTCCTTCCCACAGAAAGAGATTGTTATAAAGGAAACAGATAGTATTAAAGTGGCTTTTCTGAAATCTCAAACTGATCCAGAATGGAAACGATTTTACAATTCAGCACAAAAGCAAAAGGTTATGGTTTACACAGCCCTCTGCCCTCTCCTCTAAGCTCTTAAGTTTCCATTACTTAAGTGAAATGCCCATAGGTAGTAATTATCCCCTCTCTGAAAATTCCTGATGAACACACAAGAAAAATCTCCAACGCAATTCATTCTACACATCTCACATAAGCAAAGCTACATCTCACATGAAGAAAGCTGTCAGAAAAACCACAAATTCAGTGGTTCCAGATAACATTAGAGAGAAACAAAGTGATTTTAGTTAAGCCCAACTAGATTTTAGCCTTCTTCTTCTTTTAGAATTTACCAATACTAAAAGCGTAGAAGATAACAAGTAAGTTAGATGAGATAGGCAACCCCACACCTACGATGAATTTTATAAACATTATTTCATTTACCTTCATTGCAACCCATTAAGGCAATAATTGTTCCCATTTTATAAAGTAAGAAAGTCTCAAAGGTTAGGTGGGTAAGAGTCGGCAGAAGTAAGCTTTGAACTTGGACTTTTCTAGCTCTGAAGGCTGGTTTTCACTGTACATTTCATCATTGCATGGATTATGCCTCATTACTTCTCTGCCTGCATCAAATCTCCCCTTACCTGATTCTGCGGCATAGCAGAGAAAGCCAAAGATAATAGATAAAGTGAGGGTTCAGAAGAGCTTTAGGTATTGGTTATCAAGCTGGACAACCTCTGCAAAACAGGCCAGCTGAATTCCATGGGATTCTAAGCCAGTGAGATGAATTTAAAAGACTTCCTCCCCAGACACAGCCCACTCCTGTGCTGGGTTTGACCCAGTTATCTGCCAGGAAGTAATTACATCTCCTGATAGGGATCCCTGATACTCAGACTGACTTCATTCCTTCTCAGGAACCATGTAATCATGAAAGCAGGGAGAACTATTTCACATCAAGCTCTTCTGCTGGTCTGCAAAGGCCCAACTCCTTATTTACTTAAGTCTGAAAGCTGAGCGTTCATGTTGTTGAAGTCTGCTTGAGTGGTCATAGGCATCATGGGGCCGGGACTCAGGTCAAGAAGATCAGAAGATGGGGCAGAAGGCTCGCTGGAGGTCTGAAAACAGAGCAAAGAAAAATGCAATTTAGAAAAATATTTCATCTAATTTATCTTGACTTTCTCCCTATAGACACTCCTTTGAAGATGAAAGGATCCTAGTGTATGCATTTTTGAGGAAGAGTTCTCCATTCCCTGGGCGTGGTGGCGCACGCCTGTAATCCCAGCACTCAGGAGGCTGAGGCAGGAGGATCGTTGCTAGTTCGTGACCAGCCTGGGCTACAAAGTGAACTCAAGGCCAGCCTGAACTGCACAGCGAGACCCTGTCTCAAAAACAAAAACAAAAAATTCTCCATTCAACAGGCCAACAACAGTTTATTACATTTTACCATCTACATGACTTCCTCTTTATTTAGGGACCTTGTAACACCCTAAAACAAATACTCAAAACCATCAAAACCGCTTCAAACTGTCAATGCACGTATCTTCTGTATTAGGATCTAGTCTAGGTAAGCCTGTTCCTATACAAGCAGTAAACATTCAATTGTTTATTTTATAACGTTTCTAATCACTTACATGGGCAGTTCCATTCTGGCACTTCTTTTGCTCCAAGAGCCTTTGCTGGTTTCGAATAAACCTGTTTGAATTAGCAAAACGCAAATAGTGAAAAAAAAAAAGAAAAAGGCGACAAAATTTAACAAATTTTAAATACACAAATGTATAGGAATGGTGATAATGAGCCTTACATCCATTCAATATGCAGTAAAATGCTATTAATAACTTTTTCCAGTTTATAGAAATATTAACACTCTTACGAGAAAACTGTGAATAGCAGGTTTTTTAAATTAATAATTTAGTCATCCAGAAATTAACACGATTAATGTTTATTTTCTTCCACTCATTCATTTATAAATGAATCTGCTTTTAAAACTCAGTTGAGGCCAGGCATGGTGGTGCACGCCTGTAATCCCAGCACTCTGGAGGCTGAGGCAGGTGGATCGTTGCGAGTTTGAGACCAGCCTGAGCTACAAAGTGAGCTCAAGGCCAGCCTGAACTACACAGCGAGACCCTGTCTCAAAAAGACAAAAAATAAAAAATAAAACTCAGTTGAGGGCCACGGATATAGCCCAGTGGCACAAGTGCCTGCCTAGCAAGCTCAAGGTCCTAAGTTCAATTCCTGGTACAAAGAAAAAAAAAAACTTCATTAAAATTACACTTTACATAACTGTACATCCTAATTCAATAATGTGAACCTTTTTCTATTCAAAACTATAATTTTAATGGCTATATTTTATCTTATGAATCTCTTACACCTTTAGCCATTCTTATTTTTAAGTTCTCAGTAAGTTATTTTTTTTTTGTTATTTTATCACTATAAATAATTAGTCATAAAAATTCAGATATATTTGAAGTAATTTCAGTGTTTCACGGTTTACCTTCTTTTAATAAGATACTTGATACCTACGAAAAAAAATGACCTTTTTCCAACTTTGACTTAAGTTTACACTGCTTGCCCACTAAGTATAAAAGAGGAACAGTTAAATAAGCAGAATGGATTGAAAGACCAGTGGGGAAGGCAGAAGTCCAAGGTTCACAGGAGCACTGTCACCTAGCAGCTGCATGACCACGGACACAACTTCCTGAATCTCAGGTCTCTATCTGCTAAAAAGGAATAACAAGAATTGAGCCATTTCTTCAGAAACTTATTTTCGGGGGCAAAATATTGATAATGTGGAAATTCTTTGCAAACTCAAAGTTTCTTCAGAAACATACACCATTCCTATTTAACACACTGACTCCATGTCCCTGAACACTGAAGTCTATGGAATTTTTTTTTTTTTTACGTTTTATTTTTATTTTTTTTGTCTTTGAGACAGGGTCTCACTATGCAGTTCAGGCTGGCCTCGAACTCACTTATGTGGCCCAGGCTGGCCTCGAACTCGCAATGATCCTCCTGCTTCAGCCTCCCTAGTGCTGGGATTATAGGCGTGCGCTACCACGCCTGGCTTTTTCTTTGAAATTATTTTTCTTTTATAATTTTTTTTTGGTCTTTTTGAGACAGGGTCTCACTATGCAGTTCAGGGTAGCCCAGGCTGGCCTCAAACTCACAAAACACAAAAGTCTAAAAAAGCTTATACTACACCTAAACATGCACCTAAGTTTAAGAATTTTTTCATCTAAACCACATGCTTTTTATTTAATCTACTTACGGACTGACTTCATATATGTTTGTCAGTTATGTGCTAGGTGGTATGAACCACCTTCCCAGCTCAAGCCCCAGGTAAGTAATTTCACTTTTGATCTGCACAGCTATTCCCTGCATGTAAAGGTGGAGACTTCTGAAAACGTTGGAATAAGATGAAGGTGTTTTGCATGTGAGAGAGAGGTGAATATTTGGGACCAGGGAGGAAAAGGAAATTAAGCTTTGCAAATGGAATGAAGTTTCCTAGTGAGCTCAGTTTAACTGTGAGATTATCCTGGACGGTACAGATAGAACTCAAAGGTGTCGGGCCGGGGATATAGCTCAGTGGCACAAGCACCTGCCTGGCAAGGGCGAGGTCCTGAGTTCGATTCCCGGTATCAAAAAGAAAAAAAGAGAACTCAATGTTGTCATAAAAGTCCTTAAACATTTGCCGGGGATATAGCTCAGTGGCACAGGCACCTGCCTGCCAAACACAAGGTCCTGAGTTCGATCCCCAGTACCAAAAAAAAAAGAAAAAAAAAGTGAAAGTCCTTAAACATGGAAGGAGACAGAAGAGGAAGGGAGGCTGATAATATGGAAGAAGGTGTGAAGCAGACATTGGCTTTGAACAGGGAACAAAGGACCATGTTACAAGGAGAGTGGGTGTCCCTCTGGAAGCTTCAGAAGGTAAGCAGATTCAGTCTCCTCCAGAGGCCAGGTGTGGTGGCACACGCCCATAATCCCAGCACTCGGGAGGCTGAGGCAGGAGGATCACTGTGAGTTTGAGACCAGCCTGGGCTACAAAGTGAGCTCAAGGCCAGCCTGAACTGCATAGGGAGACCCTGTCTCAAAAAGACAAAAACAAAAAAAAAAAAAAAAAAACAGTCTCCTCGACAACCTCCAGAAAGACATGCAGCCCTCCTGACACTATAAAATTAACCCAGTGACACCATTTGTGACTCGTCCTGGTGAATTTATTTTTTTATCTTATGCTAATAAATTTATATTGATTTAAGCCAGTCGGTTTGTGGCCACTTGTTACAGTGTGGACTGTAAACTAAAACACAAGAATACTGTCTTCTCTAGAGGCAAGGATTTCTCTCTGAACCTCAGGACACAAGTGTTTCTATCACATAATTTACCACGGTCACTTTGGCAACGCATAGTTCAAAGCTGAACTAGAACAAGCTGTTCACAGAAATAATCCAATTTCCCGAGGTCTCCCCTTCTCAGAGGAGGCATTTAGGCAGCAGTCTGATGGTTTGCAACAGAATGTTCCCAAATGAAAACCAGAAGGCAGCATTACACTGAAAAACATGTGGTTTTCCTGGGATAGTTTGCTTCTTACGAAGATTTATACCACAGAAAAAAAGAGGCAAGGACTGTGAGTTTATTCCGTGTCAAGAAAGAGCATCCCTCCTGGGCTGGAATCAGTCAGTCAATGCCCTGACTTTTCCCCTGAAAAACAGCTTCCGTCCCTCACAGGCAGTGAACACGGGATAGTGAAGAAACTACATTTTATAGCTGCTGGTTTCCTTTCATCGGTCCTCCTGGTTCACACATGATCAGTAGAAAATCAAAACACCGAAGCCAAATGAAACAAACAATGTAGCTATTTTTTTTTTTTTTTTTTTTGGTATTTTTGAGACAGGGTCTCACTATGCAGTTCAGGCTGGCCTAGAGCTCACTCTGTAGCCCAAGATGGTCTCAAACTCATAAAAATCCTCCTGCCTCAGCCTCCCGAGTGCTGGGATTACAGGGGTGTGCCACCACGCCCAGCTCAATGGAGCTATTCATAAGGATCCGAGGAACCTTATTTGGGAAGAGAAGGAGAAAGTACTTTTGAATGGGTGTTGCTATGCTAGCATCCTATTAGGTATTTTCATGTACATCATTTCATTTAATCCTCAAGAAAGTTTCTAAACCCATAGCCCCTTCCAATAGGTATTGTTTCTTTAATAGAAAGAAAACCAAAAGAACCTAAGTCTTAAGAATATTATGCAACTGAGGAGAAATCATCAGCTAGATTTGAATCCCAGGCTTTTTGCCTCTCTCTTTCTCTTACATCCGGTCGGTCTCGTTCTTTATCTACTGGCTAAAATGCACCCACGCCACTGTGCCATTCAGCGTACCCAGTAATTCTCAGTAAGGATGGTGGCTCTGAGGGTATATAGCAAGTCACTTTAACTAGAAGGAACACCTATGGCATGTAGGGAGTGGGGCCCACACAAGGGCAAACTGTACCCAAGTGCCACAGCTATGGAGGAAAAAGGATCTAGAAGCAGCATCCTTTGTGGGCACCGTGTACCCATTAACCTTAAATTTCAGCCTGACTAGACGGAGAGATTCCCATAGAAGTGACTGGATCACAGGGCTGCTGCACTCCCCAGTGGATTAATCCACTGATGCTCATAACGGAGCCTGCTGTCAGAGGCGGGGCCCAGGTGGAGGTGGCTCGCCGGGGACACGACTTTGGACAGTAGACCTTTCCTGACCTGGCTTCCCCAGCTCTGCGTTCTGGCTTCCACGAACTGGGCAGCTTCACTCTGCCAGGCCTTCCACCAGTGTCCCCGTCTCAGACCCAGCAGACCATGGACGGGAACCTCTGAAGCTGTGAACCACATCAAACTCTCCTTTAAGTTGCAGGGGTTGGGTATTTTGTCCCAGCAATGAGAAGGTGACCAATATATCCCCTCACAGAAACAGAACGAATGGTGGCATGCCGTCTACTCACCTCTCATAGCCCAGAATGGCATTGTTCAAATCTTCATTCACCTGAATGAGCTCAACGGTTACATCTTCATTCTCTACCACCACAAGCAGGTCCATGATCCGCTCCTGCATCTCCCGACCCGTCTTATAAAGTTTCTGTCAAGAAAGGAGACAGGTTTCTTCCTCTACGCTAGGGATACGCTGTAAGACAACTGACTCATCAGTCTGTATATACTTGAAATCATCTCCACAATGATCCACCTACAGAAGGCCACCAAGAAGTTCAACTGCGGCAGCTCATCCTCCCTGTTGCAAGGCAGTGAGTTACAAGTGACTTTATTTTTCTCTGTAATCCAAAAGACATGTGTTATGGTTTGTGTCTGGCTGTCCCCCAAAGACACACACAGTCATAGGGTGGGCTTTTAGAAATTATGATTGATTCATGGGTGTGAGCGCTACACCCGCCCTGGGGCGGATAGTTTGCATCTGTAAGAGAGAGTAAGAGGCTGCTTGCTGTCACTCCTCCCTTTTGCTCTTTCTGCTTTTTCTATCTTCCGCTGCCAAGATCGGTTGCCCTCTGCCATGTGCCACCCTGCCTTGGAGCCAGCCAAGTACGCACTGAAACCTCCACAAACCGTGAGCTAAATAAACCTTTCCTTCTTTAATTTTGGGTATCAGGTATTTTGTCTCAGCAGCGAGAGGAAAGTAACCAAGACAACACGTCGTAAGCACCGTATGACGCACTGGAAATAACACTGGACTAGAAAATGGAAATGCCATGTGGGAATTCCAGATGCACTGCTGACTAGCTGCGCCACATTGGGGAAGAAAGTCATTTGTTTTCTAAATCTGTTTCTCACTGATAAATGAAAAAAAAAAAAAAAAAAAAAAACCAACAAAAAACACTTGTCACATCTACCTCAAGGGCTGACATAAAATTCAAATGGGATGTATGTAATGAGGAACTCTATAAACACAAAGCATAAACATAAAATGTTATTGTCATAATTAGCGATGGCAGAAGTAGCATCTTAAAAGCACTGGCAGTGGCGTAATTTTATCTCCCGTTATGTTGTACTTAAACATCTAAGGTTTATAGTTATATCACGTTGCAGTGTAAAGGGAACCAGGATTTAAGAGCTAATCACGGATGATAACTTCTTTTGGTCTACTCAGAATCACTGAATCAAGCCAGGATGCCACCCCAACCTGCTTTTTCTCGTAAGCATCACAGGCACCAGCGTACAGCTCACTTAACTGATTCAGAATCTCCAGGGAGAAGGCTATGGGCACCTACATTTATTAAACAAGCACCCCAAAGTGTTCTTATGTACACTAATGTTTGGAAACTGTCTCCTTACAAATGACTTCCTCCCAGGCAAACCTCTAGTAAACTGGAGGTGGATCCAATGAATATTAATATTTCCTCTACCCCATCTTACCTAGAATTTCTCCATGTAATAGTACACTACCATAAAGCAAAAAGCACAGGGACATTTCTCACAATGAAAGCGGCAGAACTTGCTGGAACCGCACACAATTACATTATCTGACTTTTTCCCCTCAAGAAAGAAAGGCTCACTGAAAAATTCATGCTGCATGAGACCATTTAGAATCTAAACGCCCTATGATGAGACTCTTGACAGGAAATCTCTAAATAAATAAATCAAACTATTACTAACTGGCATTTAGACTCAGGGGTAAAAGGCACTACCTGCATAAAATCATGAAAATATTTAGAAGACAAAATGAAATACAAAGGGGGAAATAAAAAAGGTGAGGTAGACATAGAGATAACAGGCTAGGTTTTTACACTAGCAATTAACAGCCAGAAAAAAATGGTCCTATCTGCCAATTACACGCCCACACTAGCAATGGTACAGCACAGGGGTCAAAGTTTGTCTTTTTTTTTTTTTTTTTTTTGTCTTTTTAAGACCAGGTCTCGCTATATAGTTCAGGAGTTCAGGCTGGCCTTGAGCTCACTTTGTAGCCCAGGCTGATCTCGAACTCCCAAGGATTGTCCTGCCTCAGCCTCCCGAGTGCTGGGATTACAGGGGTGTGCCACCACATAAAACTCCAGATATTAAGTATTTTTTACTTTGTGGGCCATCTCCTCTCTGTTGCAGCTACTCAACTATGGCACTGTAGTGTAAAAATAACCTGAGAGATTAAGTAAACAGACAGGTGTGGCCAAGTGTTAATAAAACAAAGATAGGCCGAAGGCTAGGCCAAGAGAAAAGACCTTGGACTCAATAGACAAAGGTGCTTCCAATGTAAGTACATACCTGAGAAGGGCGTTAAAGAAACAAAGCTAAATCTTAACCTTAGGTTTCGGCCCCACCCCCAATCTATAGTGCAACAGTAACAACTTTTTTTTTTTGTTTGTTTGAGACAACATCTGGTTGTTCAGTTCAGGCTGGCCTTGGGCTCACTTTGTAGCCCAGGCTGGTCTTGAACTTGCAACAGTCCTCCTGCCTCAGCCTCCAGAGTGCTGCGATTACAGTTGTGCACCACCACGCCCAGCCTTTTTGAGACAGGGTCTCAGGCTGGGGATATAGAGCTCAGTGGCATAAGTGCCTGCCTGGCAAGCGCAAGGTCCTCAGTTCCATCCCCGGTACGGCCAAAAAAAAAAAAAGAGAAAGGGTCTCACTATGCAGTTCAGGCTGGCCTTGAGCTCATGAGGATCCTCCTGCCTCAGCCTCCCGAGTGCTGGGATTACAGGCATGTGCCACCACACCTGCAATAACAACTATCTTGCAGGGTTGCTGAGCCACAGAAAATGGTGTATCTGAAGCCCCTACCTATGCCTAGCATCCAGTGGGTAATCGATAAATGCACTGCAGTTGTTTGAGGCCACCGCAAGCTCATCTAGATAATTAATACAATTATGGAATACTTGCCCTGCTACCCAGGATGCAATGTGCAAAGGAAAGAACAGCATTTTATAAAACTTCCCCGATGAATGAGAGCATTTCCTTTGTTCTTGCTTTAGAGTACACAGAAATGGCTCCTCTTGTTGCTCACCGGCAGCCTTACTGACACAAGGTCAAGATCAAGGAAATACAATAGGTGTTAGATACCTGTTATAAAAATATAGAAATTAATTTAAAATGAGCTTGCAGCCAACATCAATAGCCCTCAGTTACATAAAGACCCTCCCTCTGCCCTTTCAAGAGACAGATGGAATGGAAACATGAAAGGAGCACCCCATCTCTCGGCAGGCTCCCGAAGCAGAATGTGAAAACCCTCTTCAAAAGCCAGCCCACTCTGATCTCCGCAATTGATGTCTGTCTCAGAGGAGGACCACGCCACCTGGAAACAGCTCACATCAAGCACCAGGGGAGGAAAGGATGGGTCAGAGTTTCCCACGGCAGGCACCTGCGAGGCTGTGGATGTGGGGAGCCCTGAGAGGCGGCGGGGAACAAGTCAAAACTCAGTGACAACTGCTAGTGCATGCGTCCGTCACAGAGCCCTGGAGCTGCCTCCCTTTAGGCAAAGGCGGGCTCCTGCATGCGAGTACATTTACCAATCAATTCAAAAGGCTTTCTAGCAAAACAAAGAGGAGCTCATTAAGAGCTTCCTCTCGTGACATCCAGATGGGTATTATTCTCCACAAAATGCTGGGGAATTCAGTGGAGAGATCCCACTGCACCGTAACCGTGAACGGCAGTCATTCCACGTTCACTAGTATCAGGCAGTGCATTCGAAACAAAAATAGCTGAGCATGCCCCTTGGAAAAGCATGGGCGGGAAATACACTCCTATGAAATCGTATCTGTATGACAATATTCCTATTAGGTAATAGGAACTATACCTTATTTAAGGACTATAACTTATTTCTTCTCTTCTAGTTCTCCCCTCCCGGACTGCAGGGGACCCAGAGAATGTTTCTATCTTCTCAAAATAAAAACTATCTCCTGCCCAACCCTAAAACCAAGCATTGATCAGCTTTTGCTTATAATGTCTTCCTCCCTGTACCTGCCACTGCTGAATGATGAATTATCAACGTAAATCTCCAGATCATTACCTTACTAGAACCATTCTGTGACTCCTTTTTTCTCCCCACTAAATACCGTTAACATTTTATTTCCCTCATGCCTTTCTCTCCAGCAAATCTTTTTGTCTTAAGTAACTTCTTTTGCCCTGTCATTAATTCTTACAGATAAAAAGGATCAATCGATTTAACTCAACAAACCTTTAATAAACTCAGTGTGCCAAGCATAGACTGTAAATATGCATAATAGTATGAAATACCCATGAAGGATTTAAAAGGACAGGCCTTGGTTACTGCTGTCAAATTGCTTCTAAACTAGCTCAAGAGCTAATTTATACCCTGAGGGAAAAACAACAGGGTAGACTCGGAAACTAGAAGGCCAGCCCTGGGTTTGCAATGAGAAACGTTGGCGGCGTGAGCAGAACATAAGCTTAGGATAGCAAAACTCTCATTCCAGCTCCAATACTTGCTGCCATGTGGGGAAATATTTCGGAATATGCAGCCTCATTTGTAAAGGAGGGAGGGTGGGCTCCAAGACATTCAAAGTCCCTTCTATTCTTGGGACAGAGGCAGGAGATAAGGGCAAGGCCAGCCAGCTGGGCAAGTGGGCGTGGCCTGTCAGTCACAGAGGATCCAGGATACATGCCCAGAAAAACAGTTCCCAAGGGCTACACTAGGGACCAATCAGAAAACACTATCTTCAATTCTTCTGGCATGAGATCAAGCCTGGTTTTGATGGGACAGCCTAGATCTGATGTCACCCCAGGAACAGGGAAACACAAAGGACCTCCAGCCTTTACCTTGCTGCCCCCGTGCTCTTTCTCTGTTGGCCCACTCTCACCCTGCAGTGCACTTCTTTTCTTAATTTAACTGGCTGACATTCACTCTGCAGAGCATACAGTATTTCTTTCCCTACCCTCAATAAATGTAAAACCTTGATACGCATATCACATGGCTTTAGCAAGTTTCTGTTCAGGACAACAAGAACCTAGAAAGAATCTCTAGAAAGACCCCATAGTGGGCTGAGGATTTAGCTCAGCGGCACAGAGCCTGCCTGGCAAGCACAAGGCTGTGAGTTCGATTCCCGGTACCGGAAAAAACCAAACCAAAACAAAAGACAAACCAAAGACCCCATAGTACCTTACAACCCTGGTAACAGAAGC